TAATTGTATTGTATATACAATTATATGTATATGTATATTTTATTATTTTAAATGTATTGGATTTATTTAATTACTTTTTTAAGGTTAGTATAAGTCCAGTATGGGCAAAGTACAGGTTCACTTCACATTCTGTTCACTAGCAGCTCTTACACTTGGCTGCATGATGATAATTGTTACACCATATGGTGTTTATGAATATATTTTTCAAAGCCCTTAGGGACGTCAAGCCCTTGCTTTTGTTTCCCTTTTTATTTTTATATTCAGGCCTTAGGTAAGATGGCTCGTAAAGTTTTCCATTTGGACATTCCATATTAGAATTGCATAGGGAGTGTGTGAAGGTTCTCATTTATGCATGTAATGGCATAGCTAATAGTAGTTGGTCACAGTTGAAGACATTTTGCAACCTAACCAAGCAGCTTCTTTGGTTCTAATGAGGGCCAGAAATATATACCCCATCATGTACTGCCACACAGGTAGCTCAGTTGCCTTAATCTAATCACTGTGTAATGTGTCAAGGAAGATGTTGATCATTTTGGAAAGAAAAGACAACTGGTTCACAACAAGTGGCATGAAAGAGGCCACCTACATCAAACAGGAACATACATCCCAAAGCAGGGGTGAGGATATCTGATACCATCTGCCACCCACATGATGCCATTCTAACACCTCTACACCAGAGATTTAACAACATTACAGACTTTTTTGTCATGTAACTTGAATAATTAACACCTGTCCCAAATGTCATAGCACCATAGGATTTTATCATTAGAACATTGTGGATTCACATACTTTTATACTCCCCATCATATTCTTGGACAATCAATATGTGCCTTGACACATTCCATGGTGATTGCACTAGGATGACTGAGTTACCCATGTGGCTATAAATATAATATGTTCTTGACTCTCATTACAACTCAAATAGCTGCTCCGATAAGCCGAGAAATGTTTTCAACTTTACACAACAAGCCTAGCTAAATATAACTAACTACTACTAGATATTGGTATCAAGGATGGGGGTCAAAGAAAAAGGAACCGGGAAGGATGTAAACAGAGGTGCCCCTGTTGGAAGAAAGTGCCTTACAGGCTGACCTTCATACAGTTATGATTTATTTCCATAATAATCTATAGTATTTTATGTTGAAATTAAATCATAACTGTGTGAAGCTCAGCTTCCGAAGAACTTTCCTACAATAGTGGCACCTCTTTCCTCCTTCTTAGACCCCATCTTCTGTACCATTTATTGTCGGAAGTGAACCACTACTTTGTGTAGGATCATCCAGATATCCATGACCACCATTGAGTGTGACCTCTGCAAATATCATCCGCGTGGAGACAGTCATATTCTCCACAGGCTCACACAAGGTTGATAGACCCTGATAGTGTCTTGCGACCATATGGGTGTGAGTACATGTAAACAGTATGCATATTTTTACTCCTAAACCTGTTTTTATACTGCTACAAGCAGATAGTACTCTCTTGTGGTCCTTTGTCCTCCTTTTCTACATCTGTTATCCGACTGGTTAGGAGTCTGTCCTTAAACTACTTCTAGCTATGGCATACAGAGTATTCCTACCAGTAGCATTTCTAAAATTTTGGTCTCTCTACCCCATTCTCATTTGCCGGGGAGAACCAAAAAATAGTTGTATCTTGTTCAGCTGTTACATCTACATACTGTATACCGTATGCAATGTAGTAGGCTTCTTTATTGAGTCAAGGGCGTACTCTGTAGACAGGTGGGCGTGAAATTGTGCCCCATAGCTTCCACGTATAAGCCAATTCAAGCATATGTAAAGGCATTTTTTTTAGTTTTGGATAGAGTAGGAAAGGTCCCAGCTGGGAAGATTTGTCCCTCACTTTTTCCTGGTGACCAATGTCAAAAAGACAGAAACTGAGTTCAAAACATATGAGGTGTCACCAGAACAAGGGAAATGATGACATCTGCTTCTGTGACAACTCTCTAAGATGAAACTTCCATTCAGTTGGAGAGATTACTTCAGATGATTTCATAATGCACAGCTCTAGGCTTCTGCAATATCCTCTCTCCATCTTCAAGTGCCGGCTCCACATAGATTTGTCTTCACCAAACAAAATGCCTAAACAAATACATACTGTCAGGTACCTGTTCACGGGAGATGCCGTGTCCCTCTGCGGGGACAAAGACGGAGAGGTTATCCAGCAGCACGTCCCAGCCGCGCAGACGGCAGAAGGCCCGGCGGGTTGCGTCCCCGCGCGGCATGACGTCAACACGTCGGTGCGGCGCGGTGACGTAATCGCGCCGGCGCATGCGCAGTAGCTCATCCTCGGCCTATATAAGGCGCTGCAGGACGCTCATTCAGTGCTGGGTGATCTTCAGCCAGCACTGGATGTTCGTGCTGTGCTTGTTCTTGC